GATGAGTGTCCTTTCTCTAAAGACCCCAGCTGACAGCTGATGCTGCTGACTCAGAATGTCAGTAAGTCTTGCCAGTAACTAGGTTGGGGCTTTGAGCCCACACAGTATCAATCTGACCTCTCTAGGCTACAGACATCCATAGCCAAAGATTCACTGAGTCTTGTGCCAGCCAGTTTTTATGTCAACTTGACCCCACCTAGAGCCATTATGAAAGAGAAAGCCTCAATTAAGGAAATGCGCCCTTGAGACTGGCCTGTGGGAAAGCCTGTGGTACATTTTCTTAATCAATGTGAGAGGGCTCAACTCACTGTGAGTTGTGCCACCCATGGGCAAGTGGAGACTAAGCAAGGAGACTAAGCAGGCCATGAGGAGTAAGCCAGTATCAGCATTCCACCGTGACCTCTGCTTGAGTGCCTGCCTCCAGGCTCCTGCCCTAACTTCCTTCAATGATGAACTGAAATAAACCCTTTCCTCCCCAAGTTCCTGTTGGTCATGGTGTTTTATCAAGCAATGGAAACCCTAAGACAGTCATCTACACTGGAGCTTAGGTGAGCTGTCCTGGCAGGCATTAAACCACACACTGCCACACTGTGTGCCAAGAGTCCTTCAACCTGAGCTCACAAGGAAGGGTGGTGGTGCGTGGGTCTGGGATGTTCTGGACTACCTTGCCTGTGTCTTTCCCTTCTGCTGCTTCTCGTCTATATCTTTACGACACCTTCAAGTACAGCACGTCCCTGAGTTCTAGGAGTCTTTCTGGCCAATGCTCGTTCTGAATGGCCAGTGGGCACCTCAAAATCTATAGCCAACTGCTTAGCGGTAAGGGTCAACCGGGACGGGGATCCCTCAATTTGAGACCAGAGTTTGGCTTTTTGAAACCGGGTCTCATGATGTCATCCTGGCTGACCTAGACCTGTGCAGACCAGGCTGGCCTCAAACTCAGAGACCCACCTGCCTCGGTCTCTCAAATGCTGGGATTAAAGGTGTGTGCCACCACCATCCAGCAGCAACGAGAGTCTGCAGGCCAGGGCAGTTTTTCTGGAAAGTTTGGCCTAACTGGTGGTAGCTGGAAAGAAGTCACTGTACCCTGGAGAACTGCATATGGCAGTCTGCATATGTCACAGGGAATGGCAGATGCACCAGCCAGCCACCAAGCTGTTCACAGAGGACACTGGGCTGTCGCTGTCTTTCTGCCCCGTCAGTCACCTTTCATAAAAACGACAAAACGTCCATCCAAATCAACTTCCTAGAAAATTCTGACTCCACCCTCTTCTCTCCAGTTCCTTCCAGCCTCTGAACCCCTACACAATGGGAGTGCAAACTCAAGTTCCCCAAAGAAGTAAAAGGCACTGCAGATTGAGGAACTGACCACAAGTTCCGTGCCTGTGGAGAGACGGGGAGAGGGATGGCTGTAGGCCCAGAGTCAAACCATCTCCTGCCGTCTTTAATCTCGGTAGCTATTTATCCCCAACCTCTCTACCTGACCTAGGATGTCTGTCTAGTAGGTGAAACTTTTTGGCATACACCCACTTTGCAAACCACTAGCGTCTCCCAGATTCAAAACTAAGAATGTCACCAGGCAGCATCTGGAACCCACAGCAGAGACGACCCCCACCCTTTGTCGTAATTCATGTCTTAGTTAGATTTCTACTGCTGTGACCAAACACCACGACCAAAACCGACCTGGGGAGGAAAGGGTTTATTTGCCTTACACATCCAGTGCATCGTGAACGAAAGTCAGGGCAGAAACTCAAGGAAGGAACTAGAGCCGAGGCCACGGAGGGGTGCTGCTGAGTGAACAGTTGCTCAGACTGCTTTCTTAGACAACTGGGGACCACCTGCCTAGAGATGGCACCGCACCCGGTGGGCTGAACCCTCCCACGTCAATCATTACTCAAGAAAATGCCCACAGACTTCTTTACAGTCCAGTCTGTCAGAGGCATCTTCTCAAGTGAGATTCCCTCTTCCCAGATGACTCGAGCTGGTGTCAAGTTGACAAAAGACCGGCACACCCACACACTTGGCGTCCCCACTGAAGTATTTGGGTAAGTGCACTGATTTATGATTCCTCTGACCTGTGACCACAGAAGTCTCTGTAACCTTTTCCATGGCATCATGTGTCACCCAGAACAACATGAGTCCGTATCCAGGCCATGTGCACTCATAATAAACTATGTCTCATTCCCTCTGGGGCCAGAGCTGCACTGTGCAGACAGGGTCTTTCTTTTTGTACAGCCCCTTACACCTTCCTTCATACGCTCACAGAATTATGGCCCCATGTGCTCCTCTCTGATTCTGGACAGGTCAACTTCATTCCCGCTTTGGAGCCACTTCCCTGCGATGGCATCTACCCCTTTTTACCACATGGGTTCTGGTTTCCATGTCTTACCTCACCCTTGAGGTCAACAGCTTCACCCCGACTCTAAAGAGGCCCCTAATCACTCACCATCTGCTTTGATTCTTCTTTCTGATTTTTGTCCCCCGCATCAAAATTAAGTCTCCTTCAATGCCGGATTTCCAAGCCTAGAGGAGGGCCTGGCTCACAGAAGATAATCACTTACGGGATATCCTAATTGGATATTCCGGTCTCATAGAATCCACTGAACAGGATTAACTCCGCAGTGGGCTCTAGCTTTATTCTGCCCTCCTCAATCCATTCTCCATGCCACAACTGGAGACAGCTCCCCAGGGAAGAGCTGCAGCCTCGTTAGACGACACAGGGCTCACCACACACTCAAAGGCCAGTCTCTGAGACAGAGTACAGGTCCTTCCCCACCAGCAGCTGCTATACACAGTCTACCCTTTCCCCTTCTCTTCTCTGGGCACAGTCTACTGCCACCGGCACACCCAGCTCTCCCTTGCCTCCCGGCCTTGAGCACTGTTCCTCCCCCATTCATTTCCCCTCCCTGGGTCTCTTCTTTTGTTTACCCTTCAGGATTCCTTAGCCAATACTTGTAGCCCCAACCATGGGCTTCCTTAGAACTCTACCCAGGTCAGAGCATGGACTCAGGATGTGTGCCACAATCTTAACTGTCTGAAACCTTGCCTGTGTTCTTCTCAAGAGTATCACCCACATCGGGGAAGGGCCTTGTCTAATCCGTTTGTACTGCTACCATTAAGCACAGTGTCCACTTAATACTGCAGGTGTCTGGTACATATTTACCCCATTTAGTATGTTAGACAAGCTGAGGCCTTTGTTAGTCCCTCCAAGTTCTCCACAAATTTCGTACAGTGTTACCCACAAAACAGGTGCTCAACTCTGGATTGAAAACATAACACAATGTAGTACAATGACTACTCTGACCCAGGGAACAGTCTAGGGTACCCAAGCATCTTGATGATGGTTTGGTTCTATAAGATGTGAGCAAGGACGCTCATATACTTTAAAGAGCTTGATTCAATAGCTCTTCCAACATGTCTTTCTGCCATACTGCTATTAGCATTTAACTTTGGCTACCTAGTCCCATAGAGGCATCTTAGCCTTTATCCAAAATAAAGATATTAATGTTCACAAAGAAGCATTATCTGGGGCTGGAGAGATGGCTCAGCAATTACATGTGCTTCCAGAGGATCAGGGTTCAGTTCCCAGCACCTATATCCAACAGCTCACAAGCTCTTGGAACTTCAGCCCTAGGGGATCTGATACCCTTTTCTGGCCTCTCACAGACACTAGTACCTATAGGCAGGTGCATACACATGCATGCATACTATATATAAGTAATAATGCAAATCATAAAGAAAAAAAAGCAAGGCATATTTATATCAAAACCCCTGGCAACAGGCAAGCTTCCTTCTATGAAGTCACAGACATGCCCTGAAACGATGCCAGCAGGTTCTGGAAATTCTAAGACAGAAAGAAAACAAAATGATATTTGGAGAGTCGACCCTGCCCCTCGACTGTAAGGAACTGATGGCTTTCCACTCAAGTTCATTTGCACTTGCACACACAGTACTGGAAAGTCTGAAGCTCCTGATGGAGATGAGGGCTCCATCTGAGTTTCTTCCTTCCTTTTTGCCTATTGCAATCAACAGACAGAAAAAATAAATCAAATAAATTGATAAATAAAATTTCCACCATAACCCAGTTTGCACACAGATATATACAATCAAAACGAAAAGTAACAAAACAATCCTAAACCCTCCTCTCTAACATTCCACTGGATTTCACCGAGCAGCCTACTATGCCAGTCTCATAACCCGTATTTTGACAAATACAACAGTTTAAAATAACCACAGTAAAACTAAATCGATCAAAAATAACAAATTTCAATTTTCTCTCTCCTTCTTCTTCCTGCATGTGTATAGGGGGATGGGGACACACAGGCACATGCATTTGTATCTGCACATGAATGGAGACCAGAGGTCGACCTTGAGTGACATTCCTCAGAAGCCGTGTGTCTTGAGTCTTAGGGGACAGAGTCTCTCACTAGACCTGGGCATGTAAAAGTGCACTGCTACACCTTACTTTTTACACAATTGCTAAAGATTCGAACTCAAGGCCTCACTCCTGTGCAGCAAGCACTTTACTAACTCAGTCATATCCATGGCGCTTTCCAGACAGATGCTTACTACGTAGCCCAGGCTAGCCTCAACTAGCAACCCTTCTGCCTGTCTCCCTAGTGCTGGGTCAATGTGGGTAACACCATACCGAGGAGAAACTCACCTGATAATACAAATTTTGATGCTATTTTTAAAAGATGAACACATAAGTCTTCTTACCCTCAGGTCAAACCCTTCTAAGACCCAGGATTCTTTTCTTTCTTGGGAAGACAAGTTCTCACATAACCCAGGCTGGCCTTCGAATGCCCGATCTTCCTTCTTCCACCTGAGTACTGGGATTACAGATGTGCACTACCATGCCGGGATAAGAAAGTGGGTTGGACTCTAGTGCCTAAACTGTGTGGTCCTGGTCATTTACCTACATGGCTAGCTCTTAGGGAAACAAATGAGTAGATCACATAATAATGGTCTAAAGTAGCCCATACCTTAATATTGGAAAACCACAAATCATTCTCATGCAGGGTGGCCAGGTAGACAGATGTAAGAAGTCCAATGCAAAGGGCCACGATTCCGCCAACCACAGATGACAGGATCTTCCAGAACCTTCCAGGGGCACAACCTTTTAGAAAAGTGAAACACATCAAACAAGAATGTAGCATTTGGGGAGGTGAGACAGTGCCACTGCTAAGATCACTCGCTGCTCTTGCAGAAGACCTGAGTCTGGTTCCCAGCACTCACATCAGGCAGCTCACAGCAGCTGTAACACCAGCTGTAAGGGATCTGATGCTCTCCTTCAGTCTGTGCCCATGGGTACAACCTTCACACAGACACACATAGACACTTATGAAAAATAAATTTCACAGAATATAGCATTGACCAAAAGTCAACAAACTAGAAAAAATACAAACATAGGAGATTTAAGGATAAGAAGTAAGGATGAATATCCTAGTGGGGAACAGATTAAGGATATGAATAGGCAATGAACAAAAGAGGGAAAAGGGACAATAAATGTTAACAGACAGAGGAAAACATGTTAAAACTCATGCAATTCTCTAGCATTGACAAAAGAACAAGCTATACTTAAAAAAAAATCTTGGCAAATCTGGAATTTAAAAATGCTAATTCATGAGCTGGGGGTGTGGCTTAGTGGTAGAGCACCTGCACGGTGTGACCACTGCAAGAGAGATACATGGTAATGGAGCAGACAACTGCTTTGGAAATGGGCTGGCTAGCTTTTATGTCAGCTTGACACAAGTGAGATTCGGCTGACAGGAGGGAACTTCTCTTGAGAAATGGCCTCCTTAAGACTGTGCACTTGAGAAATTGCCTCCACAAGACTGGCTGCAGGCCAGTCTGTAATGGAGCTTCCTAATTAGTGATTGATAAGGGCAGGCCCCATCATTGTGAGCTGTGTGTGCAACAGCTGGGTCCTGGGTGCTGTAAGAAAGCAGGCTGAGCAAGCCACGGGGAGCAAGCCAGTAAGGAGCATCCCTCCGTGGCCTCCGCAACAACTCCTGCCTCTCAGCTCCTGCTCTGCTTGAGTTTCTACCCTGACTTCCTTTGGTGATATCGAATTGTGAGCAAAACAAACCCTGTCCTCCCCAAGCTGCTTTTGGTCATAGTGTTTCATCACAGAAATAGAAACCCTAACTAATACAGATATGGATTTAAGTAAATATCTTGGGGGTTGGAGAGACGGCTCAGGAATTAAAAACACTTGTTGCTCTTACAAAGGACTCATGTTCCACTCCCAGCACTCACATGGTGACTTAAACTGTCTGCAACTTCAGCTCCAAGGAAACCGATGCCCTTCTTGGACTGCCAAGGGCATCAGGCACACGCATGTGGTGTACGTAGGAAAAGGCTCGGGACCTGGTAACGGCAAGCAGCAACTTCCCCAACAGCACATGGACCGTGCTCAGTTTTATAAAGCTACGTATGCCTGCTTCTGAGCAACCACGTGGAGACAGCGACATCCAGACAGCAAGATAAACATGGTCATCTCTGCTTCTTTCAGGGCAAGGAAGTCAGTAGGAGTAGCTTTTCCTTCTTTTTAAAATGTCTTTAATTTTCAGGGTTGCCTTTTTTCTGACATGATTTCATAAAATGGGCAATCTTCAAAGTTTTTTTTTTTCTTTTTCAATTTAAAACAAACCAAAACAGGGCTGGAACAATGACTCAGCAGTTAAGAGCACTTAGTACTCTTGCAGAGGACTCAGGTTCAGTTCCAACCACCACATGGTGGCTGGCTCACAACCATCTGTAACTACAGCTCACGGGTGTCCCGATACCCAAGTCTGACCTCAGAGGGCATCCAGGCACACCAGTAGTGTATACACATACCTGCAGGCAAAACACTCATATGCTTAAAAACAAATAAATTGTTAAGAACAAACAAGAAACAACCGAAGGGCTGGTGAGGCAGCTGGGTGAGTAAGGGCATTTGCTGCCGCACCTGATGACCTGACTTTGATTTCTACAATCCACAAGGTAGGAAGAGAACAGACTCCTGCTAGTTATCCTTGGACCTTCACATGCATACACTGTCGGGTCACCACACACATCCAAGGTAAATAAATAAATGCAATTTAAAAAGAGAAAGACACAAGGCACAATTTAACATGCATTTTAACTGTATACCATCATCAGAAACTACTCCAAATTACCTCACATGCATTGGCTCCCATTAACTCAGCCGAGTGGCCTGACTTTCCAACATAGGCACCTTTTATCTTATTAAACAGCTTTTTCTGCTACCTATTAGCTCTGGCTGCTAAGAATTCATCTAGCTACAAAGGATTAATTATGTCCAATACCAAAAATGGCTCTGATGTGTGTGGAGCTTTTCAAGCTTACTTTAAAAATTTTGGCCATGTTTACTTAGAAAATGTGACGGGGGGTCACTTAGCAACTGCTCAGCATTATAAAAACGTTTCACCAAGTTCTCATTTTTTTTCTCCTCCTCCTCCATCCCCTACTCACCCCCAAAATAAAGCGAAAGAGATAACTTTCGGAATTTGACTGAATACAAAATGTTAAATTTCTTTTTCAAAGACTATAATGAAATGGGACTGAGGCAAGCTAAGGCTGCCTGGTGGTACATACGCACACACAAACCAGACAAGGCATTAGGGAAAGGGACAGCCAGGTGGGGCAGGCGAAGCCTCGGAGGACCTGATGACATCGCCACCGAAAGTTAATCAACAGACAACTTACCAAGGATTCTCATCAAAGCTCGTTTACTGATTATAGCTGAAAGCCAATATAATCAAAGCACAATCTGAACGTCTGGGTGCGGAACAAGTGTCCTTCAGAAGTCTCACCATCTTTCACATATTAGATGGTGACATACGCTAATACGCAGAAAGTAATCCAAATGCCGCCTTAGCTCAGATCACCTACCAGATGGCAGTTTCTTTTCCAACTTCACATTTTCTTTCGGTGATGGACAACCCTCGGAAACTTCTACGGTTTTCGTCTCTCTTCTTTGCCGGATGTACATCATGATGTCAAAGATTCATGTGCACTGTTCTTCCAACCACTCCTACAAACAACACCCAGATAAATGCCCACACGGATATGTCAACACTCTCTTTACCCCAATACACCCTTATGCTCTTAAAGTCGGCTGCCAGCAGACCCTCCCATATAAATCTTGAGCAGCTTTTAAAGAGGCAACACAAATATTGGACTCAACCATATTTCTAAAGCATGGGTTCTCCAGGTACTCCGGGAGTCAGGGATACCGGTGAGACACGTGAAGAAGCCCAGCCCTTCTTCCAGGAAGCCATCTTGGAGGCTCCAAGTCTTGTGACATTTTCCTCCCCTGAACCCTAACACTAACTATGTGATATGTTGCGTGACACAGTTTTACACTGTTTTCTCAGTTCCTAGAGAAAGTAGTGGGTTTGATGCTCCCACAGAACTGGCCATGGGGAAGGGATTCCTAGTAAACTTGTGACAGCCAGATTTTGAAGAACTGAAACATTGCTGCTGATACCTGAATTTTAGCACCTGTGTTCTTTGAAACACCCGCGGCTAAGCTAGATGTCTTAGTGTCAAAGACGGCGGGGCTGTGCGGAAACAGGGTGGCTGCTCTCCCTGGGGAGCAACAGTGGGTGTAGCTGTGGGAACAGTTACCTAGTTTGGAAGCTGAGGGGGGGAGGCGGGGGTGTCGTGGCGGTGAGTAAGCTGGCACCAGTCCCTCCCGCCCCCCCAGAACATCTTGCCTCGTTCCTCTGAATAATGAATAGCGTTTTACTAATTATCTATTAAAGCCCCGAGGAGTAGTGAGAGGAGATTGTTTGGGCAGCTAATCCAACCTGCACACAAGGTACCAAAGTCTATGTTTACCTAACGGTTTGCTCAATGCAACAGAGCAAGCCAACAAGACACAACGCTTTTGTGAAGATTCGCTCATTCAAAAATAATGAGAAGAAACACAGACTTAAATGCTGTGCCTCAAAGCACAAGAAACGAAGAAAGTGAGGGAGTTTAAAAAAAAAAAAAAGGTATCTTTTCAAAGTCTTGCAGTCACAGCTGGGATCCCCTCCCCCTTGGTGATTCACGTCCTGCTAGCCCTAGGCGGGACAAGGGGCTATAGAGGGCCCATAATGCGTTCACCGTGCCTGTTAAGACAGAAAGTTAACAAACACGCCAAGTGCTAATTATGACACGCGTCTGGATTGCAACAACCCCACGAACCAGGAAACAAAAAGTTGCTCTGGCCAGCGGGACGCGGAGCCCCGGCCAGACTTCAGCTATGGGACCCGCAGGCAATAGCACGACTGCCGATCGGGATGCACGCCGCCACCGTACACCTGGAGCCACTCCCCTGCGCACCTGGCGAGTCCACGAGTGGGCCAGGTGCTGAGCAACCCCGAAAACGTCTGGGCACTCGCTCCCGCTCAGCCGTGCTCCCTCCCAAGCCCCGCCCACGTGTCCCGTGGACGCGGCTCGGCCAGTGCCCTGGCGGCCCGACCCCGCAGCCACAGACCTGCGGCCTCAGCAGTCCTCGCGGGAGGCTTGGGATGAGCAAGGAAGCACGCCTGGCACCCGGGCCTTGGGGACGCGCCCGCACCGCGGGAGAGAGCTAGGCGAGGACCCGGAGGATCTAGCGGCCGGCGACTCAGTGAGGCGCGGTGCAAGGCTGGGCCTGGGGGGCGTCTACAGCCCCTGGAAGGGGCGCGCCGGGGAGGCCGGACCGCTGCGGCTGCATTAATTGGTTCCGGGAGCTGTTCGTCAACGCAAGGCCCCGCCCCCGCCTCCCGCGTTGCCCCGCCCCGTCTCGTGCGGCGCAGAACGGAAGGAAGAGGCGCACTTCCGCTTGGAGGCTTGCAGGCGTGCTGTGTTCGCTGGCAGTTCTTAAGCTTGGCTAGTTTCTGTCCTCGGAGGCCCTGCTGTCCCGAGGAATGATCATCTGGTCTCGGGTGGCTTTGCCAGCTGTACCGCCTCAGTGTCTACTGTGTGTGCGTTACACGTTTAGTGGCAGAACCTGTAGGTATATTTGCGGCTCCAAAGACACGCCCTCCCACCCCCAGCCCACCCTCACCCATCCCCCCCACCCCGTTGTTTGTGCTCTGGGCTTGTTGTGCCCAAGCTGAGACCCCCAGAGAGACCACCACTGGGATCCAGTCACGTCCAGAATGCAGATGCAAGGTTTATTCAGTGCACAAAATTCCACCCAGCTAGCTGGAAGCTCAAAGCCATCACTCACAGTGCAGCGCAGTGGGGAGGGCTCCCACTCCTCATTTGGGATTGACATATATAGGCAAGCCAGGTTTACTTAAGAGTCCATGGGGTTAGTTTTGCTGAGGACTGGGTATGCTGTTTCTGTAGTCCTCTTCCTCCTTTAAGCGGCTACTTCTGCTTCTGTATATGCCCCCGCCCTCCCCCCAGCAGTTATTTTCTGCTCCTGTCTAGACCACAAAGCTGGGTATCCACAGGGGGCTAGCTGCTAGGGACAGTTGGTTTGCATTTTTGCAAAAGTTTTTGCTTCCAGCTAACTCTTGATGCTAAAAAGTTTCTTGAACCCAGTGCCTTAACCAGCTCCGGATCAAGCAAAGTTTCTTAAAATTTTCCATGTCCTTACAGGCTTTGCTGTTCTCCTTAACAGGATCCTCTGATGTTGAGCCCTGGGTGTTGATCTTATCTCTAAATTGCTTGTCCGTCTTTTTTCCTCTTTGAGACACGGTCTCCCTTTGTAACTGTGACTGCCCTAGATCTCTCTGCCTCTGCCTTCTGGGTGCTGAGATTAAAAGTAGGCGCTACTGTACCCAGATTTTTAGTAACGGATGGCCCTCTGGGATCAGTGCCTATGAAAAGATGGCTGTCATCTAATTCTAACAAAAATTGCTTCATCCACCCTGCCTTTCTTTGTAACCGTCTCAGATATTTTTCTTCTTTGGATATCAACTGTTACTACCAAGAACATGCTGCTCGGAATGCTCTCTTATTAGGGTTTTTCTTTCTCCCCCTTTCTTAAAGCTATGTGGGTAAAATGTCAGTGCTGTGAGGTGTGTGTCCCTCAGGGAACAGTATTCAGCTGCTGGCTGATTGCTGAATGAGAAAAAGAAAGAACAGGAAAGTTGGCTGCTGGTAGGTATGGTGGAGGAGGAGGTTTATTGTAGGTAAAAGGGAGAACATAGTCAGAGGCAGACACACATCTGGTCATGACCCTGAGCCATGTGAGGAGGCGAGGAGGAGAGCCAGGTGTTGCAGCCATGAGGCCCAAAGGCACAGAAAGAACAGGCAACCATGATGGAGGAAGGTCATTGGCTAATAAAGGAACTGCCTTGGCCCATTTTATTGGTTAGGACATAGGTAGGTGGAGTAAACAGAACAGAACGCTGGGAGGAAGAGGAAGAGGAAGTGAGGTCAGAGTCTCGACAGCTCTCCTCTCGGGAGCAGACGCCTGAGAGAGACGCCATGCCCCGCTCCCGGGATGAAGCTCCGACCCAGGATGGACATAGGCTAGAATCTTCCTGGTAAGCGCACCTTGGGGTGCCATACACAGATGATTAGAAATGGGCTAAATTAATATGTGAGAATTAGCCTAGAAGAGAATGGGCCAAGCAGTGTTTAAATGAATACAGTTTGTGTGTTGTTATTTCGGGCATAAGCTAGCCGGGCAGGCGGCCGGGGGTGCTGAGAAAGCAGCCCTGCCGCCCTAATTACTACACAACCAAAATGGTTGGATTATATAAGGAAGAGCAGCCCAGCCTCCTGGGCTGCAAAGTTCAGGGTAGAGGGCAGTATGCCAGCCAGGAGAGCCCTGTAACAGGTAGGGATAGAGGGATACAGGAAGAACCTGGCAGCTAGGTCTGCTTTGGTCTGTTAAACAGGCACCCTGGCCATTTATCTGGAGCTGAAACCTAACAATTTCTATACCATGAAGCAAGAACTGTCCTAAGAACATCACGTTTTAGCCCTTCTCGTAGGTATAAGGCGCCCACTGCTGAGGGCCAGAGTCTTAGGTTTGCATGGAGCATGCCTACAGTCTCAACACTGAGGAGGTTGCAGCAGGAGGATGGCAAATCCAACTCTTGCCTGGGCTGCATCCAGAGACACACAATACTGTCTTTCACAAACATATAACAAGGCAAAGAGTTGTAGTGAAGCAGAACAGAAGACGGGGAAAATTATGGGGAAATGAAAAGGGATCCCCCCCATCCCATCCCAGACCTAGAGGAAGCCTCTCAGGAATTCCAGCACACAACACTTGCTGTAAACTAAAGGCTGCAGGCATAGAAATAATATTCCTCTCATGGAGAGTTATCTTATTTTTAAATAGCAATCATCCTTTGTTTGGGTCTCATTCATTTCCCCCAGACATCCGGGAATCTCAAGGAGACTCTTAACATTTGTTTATGTTAAGATATCCTACCTTAGGGCTGCAGAGATAGCTCAGCAGTTAAAACACTTGCATTTCTCTGATGACTGAGGATGTTGGGCATTTCCTTAAGAGCTTTTCAGCCCTTTGAGATTGTCTGTTGAAAGTTCTCTATCCCATTTTTTCTTTTATTGGATTATTTGTTCTTTTGATGTCAAGGTTCTTGAGTTCTTTGCATCTTTTGGAGATCAGTACTCTGTCTGATGTGGGGTTAGTGAAGACCTTTTTCCCAATCTTTAGGCTGCCGTTTTGTCTTGTTGACCGTGTCCTTTACTTTACAGAAGCTTCTCAAGACAACTTTGAGATTCCGTCTTATACCTGTCAGAATGGCTAAGATAAAAAACACTGATGACAGCTTATGCTGGAGAGGGTGTGGGGTAAGGGGAACACACCTGCATTGCTGGTGGGAATGTAAACTTGTACAGCTGCTTTGGAAATCAGTATGGTGATTTCTCAGAAAATTAGGAAACAGTCTACCTCAAGACCCAGCAATACTGCTGTTGGGGGCTGGAGAGATGACTCAGTGGTTAAGGCTGCTCTTCTAGAGGTCCTGAGTTCAATTCCCAGCAACCATGTGGTGGCTCACAGCTACCTGTAATGGGATCTGGTGCCATCTTCTGGCATGGAGGCAGAATGTTGTATACATAATAAATAAATAAATCTTAAAAAAAAATACTGCTATTTGGTACATATCCAAAGGATTTGCAATCATACCACAAGGACACATGCTCAACTATGTTCATAGCAGCATTATTTGTAATGCCCAGGACGTGGAAACAACCTAAATGCCCCAGAACTGAAGAATGAATAAGGAAAACGTGGTACATTTACACAATGGAGCATTACACAGTGGTAAAAAAAAAATAATGACATCTTGAAATTTGCACGCAAATAGGTGGATCTAGAAAAAACAATATTGAGGAGGTAACCCAGACCCAGAAAGACAAATATACTATGTACTCACTCATAAGTGGCTTTTAGACATAATTCAAAGAAAAATCAGCCTACAGGTTACCCAGAGAAACTAGACAACAAAGAGAGACACACATGGATATACATAGGAAGGTGAAAAAGACAAGATCTCCTGAGTAAATTGGGAGCATGGGAGTCACGGGAGAAAGTAAAGGGGGAGAGGGGAGAAAGAGGAGAATGTAGAAAAACCTATAGTTCAATAAAAACAATTTAAGAAATGCAAGGAAAAAAAGAACACTTGCTGCTGTTGCAGAGGACCCAGGTTTGGTTTCAGAACCCATGTGGTAACACAACCATCTGTAACTCCCATACCAGGAGATCTAATGCCCTCTTCTGATCCCACAGGGCATCAGGTATACATGAGGTGTACATACTTGCAGGAAGAATACTCAGAAAATGTAAGGTGGACTGTTGAGATGGCTGAGCAGTTAAGAGCATTGGCTGCTGGGATAAAACCAGACTCGCTGAACATAGCGGACAATGAGGACTACTGAGAACTCAAGAACAATGGCAATGGGTTTTTGATCCTACTGCACTGTACTGGCTTTGTGGGAGCCTAGGCAGTTTGGATGCTCACTTTACTAGACCTGGATGGAGGTGGGTGGTCCTTGGACTTCCCACAGGGCAGGGAACCCTGATTGCTCTTCGGGCAGACGAGGGAGGAGGACTTGATTGGGGGAGGGGGAGGGAAATGGGAGGCGGTGGCGGGGAAGAGACAGAAATCTTTAATAAATAAAAGTTAATTAAAAGAAAAAAAGAGCATTGGCTGCCCTTCTGGAGGACCTCTGTTAGATCCCTATTACTCATGTCCTGGTAAACCCTGTCCCAGGGGATCTGATGCCCTCTTCTGGTCTCAGTGAGCACTGCATGCACACGGTGCACAGCCATATAGGCGAAATACTTCTATACATAAATCTTTTCACAATTTTCATTAATAAAAATAAATCTTTAAAAAAGTATTACCTTGGGTGGTAGCCTCAGATATGAAGAAAACTCAGCACAATCTGAGATATTCATGTGCTCCATGCAGCTGGAGTCAGTGTGGGTGTCTGTACAGATTACGTAAGAGGCTGCTTCCTAGGTTTCTGACTTGGGCAATCAGGCCAGTGGGATGCACCAAAAGGAAAGCTGGCTTGGGACTTGGTACAACTTAACTGGGGGTTTTCTCCTAGGCAGAGGTGGTTCTGCCCAGGATCAGTGCTGATATCAGTCCAAGCTCACCTGACAGTGTCTGATCAGTCATCACCTGGCTGGCAAGGGGCCGGCTAGAGGCCAGGTGAT